TAGGGTTGAGGGTTAAGGGTTTGGGGAGCTTTAGGGTTGTCGAGTTACTGCAGCAAACAAGCAATCTCACATGTTGCAGAGCTCCAAGCGAAAAATGCACGCCGCAAAGATACTTGATGGTCAAGCCTCGGGTTGTGGGGGGTTCGGGACAAGCGCAAACGGGATGCGCAAGACACGCAGGGCACTCACAATGCAGCCTGGTAGTGAATGGGTTTCTAAGGGATTTGGGCACCAGGGGCTCGGAACCACCCCAAACCCTAAACCCTTAACCCTAAACCCTAAACCCTAAACCGATGCGCACCGGGATGACAGCGCAGCAGGGCGAGCTTGACTTCGGGTTTATGGTTTAGGGTTAGGGTTTAGGGTTTAGGGTTGACCTGACTCAGCAAGCACCCGAGGCCCTCACAAGGCATCGAAGTCCGGCTTGCGCAGGTAAAAGAGGCGCCTGAATGATTCGAATGGGGTGTCCGGTAACTTATAGTACATCTACAAAAACCCTAAACCCAAAAAGAACCCTAGCCTTGAAGGAATAATGTTGGCAATTCATCCCCCCAAAAAAGGAAATATATATGTACGGCGAATGCAGATACGTTTAATCATGCAGAACAGCCACCTGCCACGGCTCCCACGGCCCGACGATCCTAATATTATACTGTCTAACTATATGATATTGTTTAGTATTCTATTGTATAATATATGACAGAATAGATGATCATGTGATCTAGAAGATAATGAATAGTCCTGAAGCAGCCCGACCCTGAAGCTCAAGCAGACCGCATTTTCCTCCAGCGGGGCGTCGGTGCATTGGCATTTCACATTATCCGCCAGCAATGGAAGCGTGCGCACACTTAGGGTTTAGGGTTTAGGGTTCAGGGTTCAGGGTTTAGGGTTCACAAGCAACACTAGCTGGCTGATGAAAAGGAGACAGAAGCCTGCACTAATTCAACTGCGCGCGGGGAGCCGGTCCATGAAGCTCTCTCTCCGGCGAGCCCAGACGCCTCCTCAACATCTCGCGGCCGCCATACCAAGAAGCAGAGAAAGGCAGCAGCATAGACGGTGAGTACCATGCAGTACCAGGGCAAGATACCGTCCACCAGGTAGTAGAAGGCTTTGTGGCTCATGAATGCGAGCAGTGACCACCAGTTTAGCCAAACCTGGGTCCCTGTTGGAGCTATATTGAAAAATGTTCATTTTTTAATCCTTATTAAGTGTGAAAATAACAAAACTGTAGAATTGTTAATCCTTATAAGGTTTTATTATAACAACTATGTAAAATATTATTAAAACATAAATCTAAAATTGTACCCAACAAGGACCCAAAGACCATGTGCCTTCGCCAGCTTTGGGGGAAGGCCAGCTTCTCGGGGAGGTTGGCGACCTGGGCCACCCCCACCTTGAGGGCTTTCATTTACCTTACTATAATGGAGATATCTATCACATAATACTATGGTTTCCTTCTTATCGGTTTAGGGTTTAGGGTTTAGGGTTTAGGGTTTACTTAAACACTAAGTTACTATACTAGGGAGCTATCACATAATGCGATGGTTTCCTTCTTATGGCAACTTAAGCTATACGTCCCCTTATATAACAAGAGCCAGAGAACACTAGGGCTTCCTTCTTATGGTAACTTGAGCTATACGTCCCTGAACCCCAAACCCTAAACCCTAAACCCCTAAACCCCTAAACCCCTAAACCCCTAAACCCTAAACTCCTAAACCCTGAACCGGAGCCCAGCAGCCGGGATGGTGAGGAATGCCATGCAAGCGATGAGCTCCGCCAAGTACATCCGGCCCCGGTCCTCCCAGGAGTCCCAGGGGTACTGGTCCTTGCGGCCGAAGATGCCCGGCCTGAGTCCCTGGACCCCTAAACCAAAAACCCCTAAATCCTGGACCCTAGAACCGTAATCCTAAACCCCTAAAGCCCTAAACCCTAAAACCTAAAAGCCCTGAAGCCCTGAAGCCCTGAAGCCCTGAACCCCTAAACCCCTAAAGCCCTAAACCCTAAAGCCCTACACGCCTAAACCCCTACACCCCTAAAGCCCTAAACCCCTACAGCCCTAAAGCCCTAAAGGCCTAAAGCCCTAAAGCCCTGAAGCCCTGAAGCCCTAAACTCTAAAACCTAAACCCTAAACCCTAAACCCCTGAACCCTAAAGGCCTTAGCAGCAGGCCGCAGGCCACCAGCAAGAAGGGCCAGAGCTGCGTCATCAAGCGCCCGATCGCCTGGGGCGGGGCAGGGATCCCTTAAACTCTCAGACCTGGGGCCACCACTCCTCTTCGAAGTTTAGGGTTGAGGGTTTAGGGT